TTATGAGATCAGATCTTTGATTCCTATGCCTCTTCTCAATACAACATGTTCATGGTGATTAAGATGAAGAACTCGAGAAGAACTACTGCTGCTTAAACGAAAGGACACTGTGATCACACTATTGTGGGAACAACTGTAAAGAGCGTCATTGAAGTGGACTGCATCAAAGTTGGCTCTCCAAGTGAAGGGATTTCATTGGACTTCTGTATGAATGGCTCTCCACCTTCAACAATCCACTAAACCTGTGTAGACTGGGTATGTACTTTGTGTGGGGCACTTGGGTGAGATTATTGTTTCTCTACCTTTGTACATTGGATTATGATTTAGTGGATTGGACGCCTATGTGATCGTCCCCCAGACGTAGATACACACTGTATCGAACTGGGTAAACATCTTGTGTTTTTTGCTTTGTGCTGTTATCTCTTTCTTTAAACATCTCTATGATCTGTTGTTACTGACTGACTTCATCGCTGAATCAGTCAGTCCATTTCATCAGTTGGTTAATCCAGTTAATCTGATTAAAAATGAGGAAATGCAAAATTACAATTACCAACTGTAACAAATACAACTCAAGGTGTATTCTACTGATCACAAAGTAGAATACATCTCGACATGCTCAAAAGTAAAGAACACATACACACATTGGCAACTACATGCCACAGTGACAACTACATGTCACAAGAACACAATTCCAAGTTCCAAGTTCCAACCTTATGCCCTGTTCCAACCTTATGGCTACCCCCGGCTTATTTCAGTTCCAACCATTCCTCCTAGTGCCACCCTGTACTTCTGAGTCCAACCTTATACCGCCAGGGACCGTCGTCCCCCCTCCAACATAGCCTCCAACATACCACCTATTCATGAGTACACGAGGGTACTTTTCATTTCAAACACACAGCCTCCAACATATGAGCCTACACTCAGGTCACACCACCAATTTGATTCATGGCCACACGAGGACCACTTTGGTACCTTGGAGATTAAGGCCCCATAAACCTTAATCATGCAATCAAGGTACCACAAGTACACACGTTTTCATCACAGGAATCAATCAATGGATCACAACAAGGATATGAAACCATACTCAACAAGAAAGGATTACAATCCGACATCAATGATGGTCAACACAAGTTGCCAATCTCAATAGGAAAGAACAAACCGCACACACTAGCATTTCAACATCAAACTAGCATGCTTATCAAACGAGTAAACCAAAAGTAGTTCCATAGAACATACAAGACTCACCATGGTCCAACGAATCACAAAGTTGGACACTTAGCACGATTCAAGACACCAAATCAAGAAGGTCAAAACATCAATACCGAGTCAAAAGAATCACGGGGAACAAATCCCCGAACGACATCAACAGTGTACCCCGCGAGTGGGGCCACGGGTGGACCTCCACCCGTGGTTCCGCCCGTGGGTACGAACCACCCACGAGGCATGTACCCCGCGGGTGGGGCGGCGGGTGGAGCTCTGCCCGCCGTTCCGCCCGCGGGTACACCCCTGTACACCAAAATAATCCCTTCAGGTATTTTCAACAACAAGTCCAAATTCAAGTCCAAAACACCCAAAATCTCACACAATATAAAAATATGACTTGAACCCAGGAAATAGCCAAGAAATGGCATACAAGAACCCTAATAACAAGCTCTAAACATGTATTACCACAAGACAATGCATCAAATCTCACATTTCAACACAAGAATCACAACTAGAAGCCAAGAAATCATCATATAAGTAAGAAAATAGGTTTTGTAAAGCAAGGGTTACCTTTGTAGCCTAACACTTCACTTTTCTCACCCTTAAAAGCTTCTCCTAAAGCTCTTCTTCAACACCAACTTCACAAACAACCCAAAAGACAACAAAGATTCTATTTTTAGAAAGAGACATCTAAAAAGATATTAAAAATACCAAGAGATCAAGGATCTTACCCTCCCCTATGCTCAAGGTTAGGAAAGTATGAATCTTGGAAGCCAACTTGTAGAATCTAAGATGCCCAAAATTTGGCTTGGAGAAGAAGCTACCAAATTCTTAGAGAGAAGGTAGATATTTTGTGTTTAGAGTGTTGGTGGATGAAATGAAAGGATGATGCTAAGTTAGCTTAGAGAACAAACTTTAGGTAGAAAAACTCATTTGCCCTTACTAAAGTTGGAAGAATAGGGAGACAAGGGAACAACTCATAAGGCATAAGGTACAACACTTTGACTTGGATTGATTAGTCAAAATCTAGTCCTCCGACTATTGAATTTTCAGGATTTTGGGAATAAATTATCAATAAAACTAGGATTAATTATCTAATTAATCCTTAACTAGAGTTTGGAGTTTGGAATTAATCCTTGTGCGATTGTGTTTCTTTGTATCGACACTTACAGCTCCTACGCTTTTCTTCTTGCAAACAACAAATTCAAGCGGCTCGGTGATTCCACCGTCAATCTCTTCGCGTCAGTGGTTGTAGTACCAGATTCTCCATGGTTGGCTCTTCCATCAGGAGATCAAAGTGTCGAAAGAGTAATTCTTCTGATGGTAGTAAGGTATTTTTATACTCCATTGTTTGTTTCCTCTTAGTTTTCTTTGGCTCATTGTTGTTCGTCGGGTGGGTGTTCGAATGGCGAAACGGGGGGTCAATGGGAGTAGGGTTTTTGTGTGGTATCGCTTGGCTTGGTGTGGGGGGAGGGGTAGGTATATGTTTGGCTAAAATGGAAAAAAAAATGGTAAGATCATTGCATTTTAATTTTTCACAATAATATTACATAGTAAAATAAATTAAATCACTATTATATCATAAATCTTTCACAATTTTAAACAATAGAACAGAAATTAAAAATGGAACGAAAATATTTCAATAATAATATTCTACATCATCAAAGAAAGGTAAATTAAAAATGAAAAGGAAATATTTCAATAATAATATTCTACACCATCAATAGTAAATGCAAATTTTAAACAATAGTAAAGGTAAACAAAAAATGGAACAAAAATTAAAATGAAACGGAAATATTTCAATAAAAATATTCTACATCATCTGTGAACAAAAAAAAATTGAATGAAATTTAGAAATTTAAAATTCCGATAACATGTCAAGTATCAATGCGGTGTAGGTACAAGTCTCTGGATGATCCTCTGATTCTTCAATTGGAAAACTCCACCACTGAAGGGCCTCCGGAATTCAAGTGGCTTGATCTTCAAAGAAGGGCTTGTATATATAGCTTGTTCTTCGTTGAAGGGCCTTCGGGTTCAAATGGTTTGATCATCAATGGAGGTTTGGATCAACAGGCATGATTGGAGGAGGGGGTTTTACTTTCAAGATCAAATTTTTATTGTGATCTGAATAATATTTTCAAGATGTTTACATGATTATTTCTCAAGATGAATACATAGAAATGAGAGACCCCATTTATAGCTATAGGATAGAAGAGTTTTGATAGACTCAAACTCTTTTGATAATTATCTAATTAAACAAATTAGATAATATCAATATTATCCAAAATATATTCAAATATACTAATATTAAAACTAATCAATATTTATCAAAATTTAAGTGTCAACATCATCAATTAAAAATTGTTCAGAAATTGGGTAAAAATATCACTGCATCTAATATTCTAATTGACTCAAAATAAAAAAAAAATACTTGGCTGAAAATGAATCTGATATTACTATTTTTATTAGGGGAATCCGATATTACTAATTGACTGAAAATATAAAAAGAAACGAATATTAATAATTGACTGCGAATAAAAATGATCCATAATCGACTAAAATGAAAAAAAAAAAAAAAAAAAAAAGAAATTGTCAGATCATTGCATTTTAATTAAAATGGAACGGAAATTAAAAATTGGAAAGAAATATTTCAATAAAAATATTCTAAATCATCAATTAAAAATGGAACAGAAATTAGGTAAAAATATCATTGCATCTAATTTCTAATTGACTGAAATAAAAAATAATAATTTTCTGAAAATGAATATGATATTACTAATTGACTGAAAATATAAAAGGATCACTAATTGACTGATATTCTACCCTTATATAATTTCACCCGAGTCACCCATCCTGATGGACGGAAGGTTTTGGCTATAGACGAAGATGGACAAGATTGTGTTGCTACTACCAATATTGTCTACAAAGAGGTTTCAATAATGTGTAAATATAATCGATGATATTATGTTTTTTTAAATGACAAAATTGCTCTATATCTATACAAAAAATATATATTTTCCATGCAAATGAATTAGGATATCAATTCATTCTTATAACTGAGTTGCTAGAGAACGTGCACATTTGCCTAATTTATAAAAATACCGAACAATAATAAATAAAATCTCCAAAGTTACAGCACCACATGTGTACATCTACACATTAGCTATTAATTTGAGCAATTATTTGCTCAAATTCAAGCAATGATAACATAAAAACACATAAACGATCCAAACCATATCTTCAATTGCACAATATAATATTTGATGTTCTAATTTAAATAATTATATATCGATCAAAATATTCTTAATATATTACAACAAATCCATTCCGTGCAACCTACGGGTAAAAATACTAGTTTTGGCTAATCCCTATTCCTTTCCCTCCGATGTTTTAAAAAAAAATAATAAAAAAAATAAAAATAAAAAAAATAGGAAGCAGCCCCAACATCCCACAACACCCTTTGGCTCAAAAGTTTTACAAATTTCGACTTCTCATACTCTCATCAAGACTCACTCTCACTTACTACCAAAATCAATTAAGCGACTCAAAGTCGAAAGGACTTCACAACACACATGTTTCTGCTTTCAACTTTCTTCTGCTCATCGTGCTGAGCAATACCATGTGCCAGAGCTTGAAAACAAACACATCTCAGTATGAAATTGATAGTATAAACTCTATGATGCAAACTCAAATCCGAAGTTGCCTTGACGCTCCATGGTTCCATCTTAACCAGACACTCCAATCAGATTCACTCTTGAATTGCCCGTTCACTGCACGGTTTGAATTTTCCTCTTCTCAGCATGCTGATGCCTTCTCCTGTTTCTCTTTCTCGATCTCGGCAATGGGTACTGCAACTCTTCATTGTCACTAAAATCATCATTTGCCCGTTCAATGCACGGTTTGAACTTTCCAACTCCTCTTTCTCAATCTCGACAATGGGTGACTGCAACTCTTCATTGTCACTAAAATCATCATCGGACGAGTCATCCTCGTCATCATCCGCCATTTCTCTATCAGACCCATCCTCGTCATCATCACTTTGAAACCCATCTATCTCGATCTCATCTTCAGCTTCCTCTGCCTTTGCAGCTTCTGAAGATATACAAGGTAGAAAATGATATCAAACATTAAGAGAATATACCATCTAAAGTGTTAATGAAACGAATAGAAAAACGAGTATAGGAAAAACATGGTTACTTACTAGCAAGTTGATCCTTGTATGCAACAAGGAGGTCAAGAATGGCCTTAAAATGCCCTCAAGCAATCTGTCAATAAGAAACAAACTCAGAAGTTGTAGTATGCCCGTTCACTGCACGGTTCATGGCCAACAAGAAAAATAACTAATCTTACTTATATATTCTATTTATCATTCAAAACAGTCCATGACTATAACTAATCACCTTTGGTACGGTTCTTTGGTATTGCCCAGTATATAATCATACAGTCGGAGAGTAACACTAATAATTTGTTTACCGTCATATTTCAAATTTGCGGAGACTATAATCGAGAAGAATGCATGCCTCTGTTAGTAGCAAATGAGCTTATAAAGCAATTGGTCAAATGGCGGCAGTTCTATTGAGTTTTTCGTTTAGCCAGAATGTGGTCGTGATCTTTCTTGCACATATGTCACCGCTTTTTTTTCTTTTAAATTAGTGTTTCTCATCCGTTAGATATGTCTTGCTTTCTGAGTTTTCTCATGGGCGCACCGTTCTCATTTGTGCTTTTAAGTGAAAATAGGTGCACTTGTAAGTGATTGTACTTACACTTTTTACTTGCAAAGGTACACCAACTACATGCACTTATAACACATTTACTTGCACCAAAGTTCGAGTTATTTACGAAAATGTCACGATTTGTTGATCTGGACACTGAATAGTTATAAATGGTTCTTATTTCTCTCCTGAACGACCGTTCGCATTAGAGCGTCTCCATATATATATATATATATATATATATATATATATATATATATATATATATATACACACACACGAAATTAACAGATAATAATCAAAATTATATAAAAAATCTCTAACTATTAACCGATTTCGCGCCCAAAAAATAGTAAATAGTAAAGATAAATTTAAAAAATGAGCTTAAATATTTCATAATAATACCCTACATCATCATTAATTAAAAATGGAACAAAAATTAGTTAAATTAGAAAAAGAAATAAATATTAATAATTGATTGAAAATTAAAAAATGGAAAAGAAACGAAAATTAGGTTAATTGGAAAATGAAATGAATATTAGTAATTGACTGAAAATAAAAAGTGATCCATAATTGACTAAAATGGAAAATAAAATGGTAAGATCATTGCATTTTAATTTTTCACAATAATATTACATAGTACAATAAATCAAATCACAATTTGATAGGAATATTTTTGTAAGTTCTGATGAGCCAAATGTACTTTAGATCCCCTTAGTTTTTAGGTCTTTTAGTACAAGCATCATAAATCAGAATATCGAGTCAAAAGGAATCTACCATAGGAAGAACAAAATTAATTTGGGAAATTAATTTTGGTCCTACGAGTATTCATCCGAGAAAGAAGCATAAAGGAATGGCGTTGCAAGGGTTGATTGGATGAGCTTAACGGCGAAATGGTAGAAGTCCTTACTTTAAATAATCACACCCGAGATTGATTCCCCCCCCTAAGGATTTGATTTTTACAAGTCAAGTTTTCGGACAAGCACAATGTTCCTAAAGGAGCACGATGCGGACAAGCACAATGTCCTTAAGGAGCACAATGTGTACAAGCGAGATGTGCCCAAGGAGCACAATGTTCTGAAAAGGAGCACAATGTTCTAAAAGAGCACAATGTGAACAAGCACGATGTGTCCAAAGGAGCACAATGTGACCAAATCAGAAAGAGCACAATGTTCAAGTCAAACAAGCAAGAAGTGCCCAAGTCAAAGGAGCACAATGTGGCAAAGAAGCAAGATGTTCAAAAAATGAATAAATTCGACGGAATTTATTTTGGATCAGCCCACATGCCACAAGAATCCAAAATTGCCTGAAGATATTCGATCAGAACGGAAAAATATTTATGAAGACATGAATATAAAAACTTATCCTAGAAATAAATTCTATCAAATGAATTTATTTCAAAGATTCGTTGGATATTCAAATTGACAACAAAAAATAATATTTTAAGAAACAACTTGACAATCAAGTTGAGATAAAATATTATTTTGTCAGGCAAGTTGACAATCAAATCAAAATTGAAGATCTACTATTGTCAACAATATCAGGCTATGAAGTTTCAAATTTCAAATATCAAATTATCCCACTCCAACGGATATATTTGATTGCCTATAAAAAGCCATGAAGACTTGAAGATACAAGTAGAGGTGCAAGACACACGGATAAACAAAGTGCAAAAATTCAAAAGTGCAAGTGCTCAAATATTCTTAGAGACTTAGTCTGAATAGTCTCAAATCTAGTTGGAGAGAGATACAATTACCTTTGTATTTGTAATTGTAGAAAGAGTATAGCTGTGTGCAAAATACTCTAGTGAGTGTAGCTGTGTGCAAAACACTCGTAATTGCTAAGTGTAGCTTTGTGCAAGACACTTGGTTGGCGTTGAGTATAGCTGTGTGCAAAATACTCGGAGTTGAGTGTAGCTGTGTGCGAAACACTCGGAGTTGGGTGTAGCTGTGTGCAAGACATCCGGAAGAAGTGCTTGTGTAGCGCTTATTCACTATTGTAACTGTGTGTGGAAAATAGTGAATTACTCCTAGAAGTGAATGGAGTAAAGTGGACTAAGAAGATTACGTCACTTCCGTACCACTATAAATTGCCTCTCTCATTTACATACCGCACTTACATAATTTGCTCTATTTATCTATCTTATCCGACTAACCCGTTTACTATTCACAATTAATCTTAATCGTTCGGGTTTAGTGTGTTTTCACGTATGCATGTGACTCAAACTTCTCGAGCTTGAATATTGGATTATTCTAAGCAAGTTTGACGTGTTGCATGTAACGTTTGTTACACGGTCGACGTGACACGATATTTATTTACAATCTTGAATATTATTATTATATATTGAGTGCACCATCTCCTTTATATATTCAAGATATCTCTGTCACTTTACATATCATCTGTACCCATCTTACATGCACATTTAAATTATTGGTTGGGCATAACTCTTTCCATACTATTATTCCGCTGTGCAGTTTTAAACTTGCTCTATTTACTTGTTACTTAGAGTTGAAGTTACCAAAGAGTTATTTATTGTGAAAAAGCTTGAAAGTCTATTCACCCCCCCCCCCCCCCTCTAGACTTTCACCACCCTATCGGGACCAACAATTGGTATTAGAGTGTTGTCTATTTGAGTCAATTTTGACTGCTAGACAGATCTCGAAAAATCAAGATGATGAAAATAGATATGGCTCTTGCCCAAAATCTATTGTTTTCCTTAGAGAAATTTGATGATTGGAAAATTCGCATGCATGTACATTTATCCGCGTTACATGATGAAATGTGGGAAGTTGTTACAAGTGGTCCTATTGAAATTTTACAAGTCAACACCTCATCCGTACAAACAAGTGACACTCCACAATACATTCCAAAACCGAAAGCGGAATGGTCTCGTGAAGATAGAACAAGAAATAACTTGGACAATATTGCCAAGGATATTTTGTTTAAATCTATCGATGACACGATATTTCCAAAAGTTCGAAAGTGTCAATCCGCGAAGGAAGTTTGGGAAACTCTCATTCAAATTGGTGAAGGAGACGACCAAGAAAAGGATAATAAGCTCACCATAGCATTAAAGAAATTTGAGGATTTCAAAATGCTAAACGGCGAGAATATTACCGACATGGAAACAAGATTTGCCAAAATCTTAGGAGAGATTAATGATCTTGGAAAAGATATTAATCAAAAAGAAATCTCACTCAAAATTCTACGTGGTCTACCATCAACATGGGACATGAAGGTCACGGCCATGAGAGATCATAGGGATCTAAAAACCCTATCGACCGATAAGCTCTTTAGTGATCTAAAAGCTTATGAATTTGAGATGAAATCAAGATTAGAGGAAGATCATGAAGAAAAGAACAACGCGCTTGTAGCTGAGCAATCATCAACTTCAAGGTCAGTACAAAATGTTGAATTATTGCCTAACGATCAATTTGCTCTCTTTGTCAAGAAATTTAGGAAATTCATGAAGAGAAGCAACTACAAGAAAAATCCACAAGGAAAATCATGGAATGCAACAAAGAATTCAAAGAAAGAAATAGCTAAGGAAGACTCGAATTTGTGCTACAACTGTAGAAAGCCTGGACACTTTGCAGCTAGTTGTCCACACCCCAAGGTAAGTAAAAGTCAATATACAAATGTTTCTAACTCTCAACAGGAAGAATTCAAGACCAAAGATAAAAGGTTCATAAAGGAGAGAAGAAAAGCACTTATTAGTGACCCACTTGAGATAAGTGAGTCAGAAGAATCTTCAAGTGATGAAAGTGACACCTCAAAGGATGACAATGCAATGTTTTGCATGAGCATCTCTAACAAAACACCCTACGAGGACATGTGTCTTATGGCAAATGGAAATGAAGAAAATGAGGTAACATCTAATTCTTATGATTCTGTAAATTCTTCATTTTCTACAGAGTCCTTCTTTCACTTAATGGAAGAATGTCAAACCGTAATGGACACTCACTCTCAACTCAAAGAGCGCAATTGTCTATTGATTCTCGAAAAAGATCAATTAAATGAAAAATTGCAAAATGCTCTACTTGAAGTGAAAGACTTGAAAGATAAAATTATTTGTCTTCAAGAAGAGTGTAAATCAAGGGAAGTGAGAGAACACAACCTTAG